TTATAGATGGAAAATAAGAATGGGGATACTAGCAGCCTACAGGAAAGAAGGTAAATGTCCACAGCTGCTAGAGAAGGAAAAAGAAATTTTGTTTATGATGGAGTTAGAGGAAGTTTCAGATTGAGGTGATCATGTGTCTTCTCTCTCAGTCTGAGGGAACCCATGTTAACTGCCAATATAAGAAGAAATCCTGTTAAACTTTCAATAGATTGCTTATACAGATTTGTCAGTAGTTACCCAGCCAGTGGCCCACTTGCAAATGGGAAAATACTGTTTTTCCTATGCCTGGTAACTCATGTTCCCCAGTAATAATAGGAAAAATCAGTTTGTTTGAGATAGTACCCAATGGCCATTGAAGATAAGAGAATTAAACCCCACATTTAAGAGTGGGGTTTAATGGACCTAAAAAATGTTCTGACTAGTGTTTTTATTTGGCCAATGTATGTTTAATAGTTTCTTTGCCTTTATCTTCAGATTCAAAGCTGTAATGAAAATGGGCCTTTAGATAGAAACTCTGAAGAATATATCTGACTGCTGGTCAACAACTACAACCTGTTTCAGCTTGAAGAAGCCAGAGCAGTCATCGCCCATAGTTCCCTAACGGCAGTTCGGGTTACATCTTCAGCGGGGGGAATGTTGCAGGCAGCCGAGTAAGACAGAAATATTATAGGCAGTCAGACAGGGTCAGGCTCTCAAGGAGACAAGATGGAAGACAAGGTAACTTTGCAACTTGGAAGAGACAGACACTCCCATATGGGCCACACCTCAAGACCAAGACAAAAAGCACAGCTACATACTTCCCTAGGGATGGGCATTAGGGATTGATATCCTAAATAGTATCAATCAACTTGAAAGAGTCAAATGAGTCACTAGCCCAACCCCCAACAGGAAGAGACCCTGTTCCATATTCATGCCCACTTACTACATGACTGGCTTTCCCATTTGATACTGGATTTAATCAATTTTACCTGAGCAATGGTACTTGTAATCTCATTAGTTGACCATAGTTTGGTCCCACCACATGCCCAACTAAAAAGTTGCCATGTCTTCTCCACCACCTTAGACCCACCTCACCACATGGTTTTCCTCTATAAAAGTCCCTGCAAGGGACAAATTCCTGGGGGAAACTACCCGCTCACCCCCCACCTCCTGTCCCTCTCTTGGACAGGAGCTTTCTTTCTCTCAATAAATATATTCTGCTCATTAAAAAAAAAAAAAAACTGTCAGCTGAAATAACTAAGAGCCTTTGGAACTGGCTTGTGAGAAGGATTTGTACAAGTTTGGAGATACCAGCTCAAAAAGTAGCTCTGGAATGCCTTAAACCGTATTTGATGGGAGATTCCAGTCAGAGTTCAGAAGACCAGAATGCTGACAGAAGTGCAGCAGGTAAAGACCAGGTCAGGAGTTTCTGCTTGGAAGGACTGCACTGGCTGTTAGACTCCATACCACGTATGTTATCCTTTGGCAAAAAGTTTACCTGCATCTGCTTATGCACAAAGACTGCCTGAGATTTAAAAGCAGCAACTACTTAGCCTTGTGGAAGAAATTTCAAGGCAGTATAATGTTGAGGTGGCATGTCTACTCTTGTGGGTTTTTAGTCAGATATATGTTAAGAATCAAGAGCAAAAGCCCCAGCAGAATGATTTAAACGTTTTGAGTTTGGCCAGAAAGGAAATAAAGCTGCGAACTGCAAAGATGGAGCAGAGGAGAACTTGCTGAGAAACAACAGGACAATAGAAAAGATGGCATGAAGATATCACAAGAACCAGCAAGACTCCACTCTTTGCAGCCCTCAAAATAGCAAAAGTGAATAATGTTCTTTGAGAATAAAGCACCAGAGCATCGCAATGGCACTGGCTTGCAATTGGGTTGAATGCTTGACATCTAGGCGCTTAACCCATACACCCAAGAAAGAAAGAAACCTGGCTGCTGCTCCAGATAGCAACACATTCTAGCATCACCTACACAGTGCTTTCTGGTTTTAGGTACACGCAGAATTCAAGAGATGTGGGATCAGGAAGGCCTTCACCCAGATTTCAGAAGATCTGGAAGGCCAGGCAGTGTGCCCCTAAAAGGGCAGTGTGTGAAGCTGTGAGAGTGAAGCCAAAGGTAGAATGGAAACCCTAGAATGTTGGAGAAAGCAAAAGTGAATCATCTAAGGAAAGTCACAGGAGTAAGCAAAGAGAAGATGTGGGAGCTATAATCATCAGCAACCCTCAGCAGTGCTGTAGCACAGAGCCACCAAGCCTTTCTGAGTTAACAATTTATGACTACACCCCATGATGGACATGGAACTATTGGATTTAATGTTTTTCCTGCTGGATTTTATCTTGCTTTGTTCCCACTCCTTGCTATCCCCCCCACCCTACCCTTTGTACCTTTTGGAACAGAAATGTATTTCTTTTGCCACTGTATATTGCAAGTGTTTAATTTTCTTTTCATTTCTACAGGGGTTCACAGCTAAGAGTTGACCTTAAATCTCAGATGAAACTTTAGAGTTGGATCTTTCAACAATGCTGAAACTGTTAATAATTTGCTAACTCTCTGAGATGGACTAAATGCTTTTTTTTTTTTTTTTTTTGGTACTAGGGATCGAACTCAGGACTTTGTACTTGCCAGACAGGCATTTATGCCACTGAGCTATCTCCCCAGCCTAAATGCCTTTTGTATAAAGGGACGTACACAAGTCTTGGGGGGGCGGGCATCAGAGGTGGAATGTTATGGCTTGTATCTAGATGACTCCAAAAAAACACTTGTAATTCCACCTTTCAGATGAGTTTTCACTGACCAGCATTATGCAGAAGCTACTGGGATATAGTTATTTTAATAGGTTAGTTTCTTTTCATTTTTAGTGGATATTTATAGAGTAATGAACTTTATTTTATTTTTTAGAGGATAATAATAATTGATAAGACATTAGAAATGGTATACATTTAGAAGAACAAGATAAGGGGTATTCAATCATGGTTTTTGTATTGCACATTGTTGTCTTCAATGTGGTTGCTCAGATTGCAGATATTAACCTAGTTAGGTTAATATAGGTTAAACACTAAATCTACTCAAAGACAAAGTAGGGTGGAAATCCTGAGGACATAGGGGTAGGCAAAGAGTTCATGGACAGAAACCAAACCGCACAGGAAATACTTCAAAGAATCAACAACTGAGATCTCATCTTACTGAGAAGTTTCTGCACATCAAAAGAAATCACCAACAGAGTAAAAAAAAAAAAAACAAAAATTGGGAAAAAGCCTTAACCAACCATCACTCAGACAAAAGACTTCTATCTAGAATATATAAGGAACTAAAAAAAATAAGGTCCCCAAAATTCAAAGATCCAATCCAAAAATGGGCATCTTAAATGAATACACACTTCTCAGAGGATGAATTATAAATGGCAAATAAACACATGAGAAAATGTTCCACAGCACTGGCCATTCCAAAAATGTAAATTAAAACAGTGAGATACCATCTCACACCACAAAAAATGACTGTCACAAAGAAATCAACTAATAACAAATGCCAGACAAGGTATGGAGAAAAAAAGAACCCTTCTTCACTATTGGTGAGAATGTAGATTGGTATAACCACAGTGGAATTCAGTCTAGAGACCCCTCAAAAAACTAGGACTGGAAATCCCATTCAACCTAGTTATTTTCCTTTGCCAAAGAGATGGCTCAGTAGAATAAATGCTTTCCTGGCAAGCACACGGGGCCAAGTTCAATCCCTAGTTCCGCTAAAAAAATAAAAATAAAAAAAATAAAAAATAAAAAATCCATGTGCAGGGAAACCAGTAACACAACCACCCATTTGAGGGCCTGCCCCTTAGCTCAGTTCTTTAAGTGGCTGCTTCAACAAAGCAGTCAGGCTCAGGTTGCTATGGTTCTATTCCCACAACTCTGCCCTGAAGGCATTCGGAGCAAAAAAAATCCTTCTACTTATTTTCTTTTCGAGAATTTTTCCAAAAGAACTGAAAACATCATACCATAGTGATAAATGTGCACCCATGTTTACAGCAGCACCATTTGTCAAAGTAAAATCTTGGAAACAACCAAAATGCCTAACACCTGAGGAATAGATAGAAAAGATGTGGTATTTTTATACAATGGAGTATTAGTCAACTATAAAGAAAGACAATCTTGTGGCCTTCATAGTTAAGTGGATGAAACTAGAGGCTATACTCATAAGTGAAATAAATCAGACCCACATGTATAAATATCATATTGTCTCATGTTAAGTTTCTACAAAGAGCATTTAACATGACAAAAATGTCAAAATGAGGACAGGAAGAGGAATAAAAAATAAAGCTGTAATATGTACATGCAGCCATGCCCCAAGATTGTAAATTTCATAAATTACAAACAGGTGCTAATAAGATAAAATAAAAAATTTTAAGTCAAAACATTTCAAATAATCTATATTTTAAATTATGTAGCACCTACATCTAAAATTGATAATTCTGCACACAGTGAAAAAGACACACATCCCTTCTTTTAGTTTAACAAAGCAGTTGGTTCAATTTTTAAGCAAAAAATAAAAATGACCTGGTATTATCCTGTACGCTGAAATTAATACTATTCCCTCAAAAGTATGCCAAGACTTGGAAGTTTTCTATCCCTTAAAGTAAAATATAGGTTAGTTGAAATTTTACTAGAGAACAATGATTAACAGCCCATGAAAGTATTATAATCTGAAAAATTTTAAAGCCTAACTGATAAGAAACAGTCTTATTCAAGAAACGTAGCATACCTAAACTGCCAGAAAAAAATGGAAGGGAAATCCCTAGTAAAAAATAAAGCAAAAAGCAGTCTCACTTGCTACATTCAGCTTTTGGTGCTATACTATGGAATGAAGGTTTAAAAGAAAAAAAAAAAAGTTTTATTCTAGAATTATCATTTAAGGAAAATAAGTACAAGTATCTATCATATTTTGCATTTCCTTCATGGGATGCTCACTTCTTTATAGATATTCATGAAAAAGAAGGGAACTGTCACCATTCATACCCGTTCTTTGTCCACAACAAGGAACAGCTCAACGTAGCGGGTCTGTGGCAGGATAGCTCTTCTTCTCTGTCAAAAACACATGTAGGAAAGCAAAGGTCAATCACATGGGCACCCACAACCACTCCTCATCTCCAACCAGTAGCTTTGTCTGCCAGGGCATCATTATACTATCTAACATGTCTTGATCAATAAGGCCAAAACCATGTCTATTAAGAGTGGCAGCTGCTGCCTGCCCTAATCAGAAAACTTCTGGTTAAGGATAAAGTGGCCCATTCACATTTTCAAAAAAGCACAAAAATTATTTTTTTTTTTAAATCAAAGGTACACACCTCTCTCTTCCCCCCACACATATCCATCCTTCAACACACATTTTATTTAATTAACTAATTAAAAAAAATTTATGTATTTTGGTTATTACAGGGTCTCACTATGCAGCTTGGACTCCTGGTGATCCTCCTGCTTTCAACCTCCCCTGAGCTGGGATCACCAGAGTATGCCACTATGCCCACCCGGACTCTGGCCTGCTCAGCCTACCCTCGGGGCTGGCACGGCACGTGGTACCTGGGATTGAACTATGGTTCCTGAGCTTGCCTAACCTAGCCTAAGCATGTGCTTTAGTCCACTGAGCTATCTCACCAGCTTCCACACATCTATTTTAATGAGAAACCCTATTACCATGGTTAAGACAAGATTCAAAAATAACAACATCCACTAATACTGAGGAAAGAATATCCATTAATATTCAACAGCAGAAATTGGGAGACGGTTGCCACTTTTAAAAATGACTAGTTTTGTCATTTTACAAGGAATTCATACAAATAAGCTGTATGGTGGCACATGCTGTAATCCCCCCACTTGGGAGGCCGAGGCAGGAGGATCACTATGAGTTTGAGGCCAGCCTGAGCTACATACATAAGCAAGCTCAAGGCCAGGCTGTACTACATAATGAGATCCTGTCTCAAAAACAACACCGAAATTCATACAAGGGCCAGCCAAATAGCTTAGTGGATTAAAGGGTCTGCAAGCAGGCACAGGGACCTGGGGTTCGATCCCCAGGCCTGCTGTGCCAGCAATTGAGACTGGGTCTGGTGGCACACGCCTGTAATCCCAGCTCTTGGGAGGCTGTATACATGCAGATCACTGAGTCCCATCTAGTAGTGAGACCCTAAAGACCCTTCCCTAAATATAAATAAATAAATAAATGTTGAATAGTCCAAAAGACATAAGAGTAGACAACAGGAGAAGCCATCAAAACAATGCCATAACTGAAAATATGCCTTAAACTAGATACAGTGGTGCACACCTTTAGTCCCAGCGAGCCCAGAATTCAGAGCCATCCTGAGGGGAAACAAAGCTCTTCCCAAGCAACACAGCTACACCCTCTCATTGTAAAAAGCTGTTTTCCTTGCAACTGTGGTTAATCCAGTCCCAAACTCATTTCTGCCTAAAGGACTCCAGTGGCAGGGAAATCACTAAGTCCAAAAGAAGTTTCAAAATAGAGACATGAATGTCCTTGGAAGACAACTTAAGTTGTTAATATCCTAAAGCCAAATCTCTCTGCTTCATCAACTGAGAGCTCACAAATTACCACAGTGGTTTATGTAAAAAGTATCTGAATATACAAATTCCACTGCTGGCCAGTGAAGTAACAATTTTCAGTATGTTTACTGTCTAAAGTTTAAGCTCTGGTTCCCAAAGCCCACAGAACCTAAACTCTTCTCAATATGGTAGCTGGAAATGTATATTGCTCATATTATTATGCCCTTAGTTCCTATCATAATACCTGGCATGTCACTGGGAAAAATAATAGTAAATATTGGCTTAAGGAATAAAAATACATGATTTTTAAAAAGTTCATCAGAGCCAGCCACAAAGTATTTTTCCTTACTCGAAGTAGCTGTGTCATGCTGCGATGTTCTTCCTCTCCACCCTTTGTGGTTTCTTTCTCTGTGTCCACGTTAGAAACTCCACATTTCAGAGGCTCTCTATGGACACCATCCACTGGATAAAAGATGTGCTCAAAGCGGGAGCTGTTGTGCAGGGGTTCGATCCCATAACTGGCATTCTCTAAATGTAGCAACCCTCTAAATATTGCATTATACATACATCATTTTTCAAGGAAAAAAAAAGAAAGAAAATGAATCAGAAAACCTGAATTCAAGTTCTAGTTTCTCAACACATGTAAGAAGACGTAAATAATAGAAAGTGGGGAAAAACAAGGCTTTACAAAAAAAAAAAAAAAAAAAAGTAACTGCTGCTTAGTAGCATCACTGCCTTACAATTACTTAGCCTCTCTGAGCAGCTGCTGTACAATGGAAGGGCCTGTAGAGAAACACCAACGTGCATGGAGTCTGCAACCCGAAGACCAGAGCTCTGAATCCCAAACATGCTTCCTACCAGCAAGCAAGTCACTTAACCCTGCCTTGGTTTACATTCCATAGAGGACTGTTACAACAAATTATTTAATGTGCATAAAATCCTTAGAACATCTAACTATAAAGTGAATGAAATTATTTAGATGAAGATAAATAATTGCTTTAAGAATTAAGTGATTGGTTTATATCTTGTAGTGAGAAACTACTCTGAAAATAATTATACAGTGTAATAACTATTATAATTCTCTTAATACTTGGTCGTGAAAATGTTTTATTCTTTCATAAAATAAAAAGAAAAACAAAATGAAACAAAAACAATAGTCTATCACTGACCTTTTAAAAAAAATGATTCTTACTCATTTAATCACTCATTCACCCATCTAGCAGAGTACTACACTGTCAGGTCTTCATACAAGTAATATTAGGGGCAGGGAGATAGCTCCGTGGCACAGTGCTGCCTGGCAAGCCTAAGGTCCTGAGTTTGATTCCCAGTACAAAAAAAAAAAAAAAAAAAAAAAAGTAACTAACATCAGTGTAACTTAATTGCATGTGTGATATAAGTTTTTTCTGAACCTTAGTTTCCTCACCTAAATACAGTGATAATGAATGAGTCTTTCCTCAGATTATAGGACTTCAATGAAATAATAAACAGGTGAAAATGTTACAAATAAAATGCTACAAAATTTCAAAGTATATTTCATTTTAAATAGCAAAAATTACTTAGTGGTCTGAAAATGAAATTTGTTTTAATATATACTAAAATCTATGCACACTAATTTTTTTCTAAATACACCAAGAATATCTGAAGCATAGCTATAAAAAACTTAACTTCTTTACACATCAAAGTAAAATCCAATTTTGTTACTCTCCAAAAGTGACTTGGCTTGGAGACAGAAATAAAAGAGGTGAGAAACAGGAAAAAGAAAAAAAAGAGACAGAAAATTCCTTACCTGAGTCCTAAACAGTCACTAAGAGAAACAGATGAATTATAAACTCCTTCCACGTAGCCCCGATAATGACAATGATTCTAAATAAAAAACACTTTATTATTTTTACATATTGCTACATTTAAAAAATCATCGTAGATATTATGCACTAACAAAATTACTTGTGGCAGTAAACTAAAAATTTAATTTAAATTATTGGCATCTCAAAATATCAGACAGCATTCTCCAGACACTCTGCAGACTACCTACTCTCACACTACAAGTACTCAAAAGCATAGGCAGAATACTACCAGTTACTCAATACATACCGCTCGGTCCCACTCACTTTCACCCTAGCAGCAGAACAGGACATTACATTATGTCTAACATTTTAAATCACAGTCAATCCAAGGAGCAGCAGCAGCCCAATGACATATAATGTGGAAGAGATCTTGTGAGAGGATAATGAAGCCCCCATTCAAAAACAAAAATCAGTACACTGATTTATTTTGAGCAGATGGTTTTCTTCTATTTAGTGTATTATAGAATATATTATTATATTATTTAGGTATATTATAATATTATTAGACATATTATCAGTAAGTTCATCCATCTTCAAAAATTTCAGAGGCTTTAATCTTAATTTTCGGCCAGAAATGAAAAGGTAATCATTTGGTAATCATTTAGTAAATCAGCTATGGTAGCACCAGCCTGTAATCACAACTACTGAGAAGGTTGGGGCAGGAAGATTGAAAGTTAGGGATATAGCTCGCTGCTCCCTCAGATCAATTTTCAGTACCTCAATCAATGAACAAAATTATTTAGTAATACCGAACTGTTTAGTACCTAGGAGATTTTCTCATCTTTAGAACAATTACAAGAGCTAGGGTGTAGCTTGGTGGTAGAACACTTTGCCCCACATGCACAAGAGTTCGATACACACAACTGAAAGAAAGAAAAAAAATTACAAGACACTAAAATAGAAAATTCAAGGGTCAAGTAATACTAGCTCCCCCAGACAAATGCAAGGCCTTGATTATTAAAACAGTATGATGCTGGTGAATTACTAGAGAGAATCAAACCAGTGAAATCAAAGAGAAAGTCTGCAAACAGACCACAACAAATACATATCAACATTTATTTGATAAAAGAGGGACCACAAGGGTCAGCAAGATAGCTCAATGGACTAAGTGCCTGTTTCAGCAAGCTCAGGGACCAGGATTCAGTCCCCAGCACCACAGTCAGCTCTGGTCCAGCCCCTACGCGTGTTGAGCCTGTCACCAAGACCTGTAATTCCAGCACTGGGGAGGCTGAAAACAGGAGGATCATGAGCTGTATAGTGAAATCCTCTTTACTTCTGAAATAGAAAATGACCTTCTGGCTGTCACTCAAATATAAAATATATTTCTTAAGCTTCTATGGAAAGAAATACCAAAAAAGTCAAAAGATAACTGACTGGAAGAAAGTTATTTATAACTTACCTGACAGGTAAAGGGTTAATATATCACTAAATATAAAGCTACTTTAAATATTGAAGGGAAAGTTTAAAAGCCCAAGCCAGATATTGTGACGCATGTCTATACTCTCAGCACTCTGGAAGGCTAATACAGGAAGATTCCAAGTTCAAGTCCAACCTGGGCAATTTTGCAACTTAGGGAGAGGATCTCAAAAAGTATTTTTTGAAAGGGATGGGAATGCAGCTCATTTCAAAGGCCCTACATTTAATCCCAATATGGAAAAAAAAAAAAAAAAAAAGTAAAAGCTCAATAGAAAACTGGGCAATTCATACAAACTACACAATCTAAGCAGGCACTTAAGCCACTGAGATATCTCCCCAGTCCCAAAACTATGTAATCTGAAAATGCTCTTACATGTATGAAAAAATTTCCAATCTGACATGTGACAAAAATAGCATCTTTAAATCCACCCTAACAGAAACAGAGTAGAAATTGCTCTAGCAGTGATAAATTTATACATCTATCATTTTGATAGATTTCATAGCAACAACAAATTCAGACAAACACTAAGCACTGAAACTTAGTCTGTAAACAATGGAGGACTAACAGGACACATTACACAGGCTCAAAGTATCTACCCACTAAATTCATTTAAAAGGCAGAGATGACAACTTTACAGCAGAGAAGCCTAGCAGACTCCTTCTAAACTAAATGGCCAGTGTGATCACTGTCAAGTAGTAGAGCCTTGACCACATGGGTTTATTCATCTGATATTCCAAGAACAACTAAGTTGGCCAGCCACCAACAGGTGATCCCTTCACTTAATAGTACTTGTTTAATAACCTGCTTTTATTAAATATTTCTACAGCATTAAGTTAAATTCTGTTGGGGCGAGGGAGATGGCTCAGTAGAATAAGCACTTCCCTGGCAAGCACAAGAGTCTGAATTCAATCCTCAAGTTACCCAAAAAAAAAAAGTTTAGTTCTGTTGCAAAGTTCCTGTATCAACCTGACCAGATCTGCCAAGAAGAACACAACTGCCTTCAGTCTTCTTGCTTAATTTCATAAACCAGAGATTTTCATTTCAGGAAGAAAGTCTGAGGTCCATGAGGACACCTGGACAGATTTTTGTCCCACAGCACTATCCTCTATTTCAGTACCACAGAGACACAGTGACAAACCATCAACTGTTCTATGAGTCAAATAAATGGACTTTGTCCCAGACCATGTTATGTTCTCCACACCCATCAAGTCTCCTTAAAAAATCATTTACTGTTAATTTGACATTCCCTATCCTATGCCTCTCTATAGAAAAAGGGCACCTAAGTTTCTAAATTACAGTTGAACTAGTGGCCACACACACTCCTGTAACTGGGTGTTAATAAACTTGTATCCCTTTTCTCCTAAGCTATCTTTTGTTTTGTTTTTCAAACTTTCCAGAAAACTCAGAGAAAGGAGGGGCTATTTCCCCTCTCTCTCATAGCTGTCAAAAAATACAACAAATCCTACTTTGTAAGTTTATAAACTATCTAGTGAAGTTGTAAGACCATAATAAAGGTGCTATAGACACAAACAGTTTCGGAAGCACACACACTATAAGCAAAAAACTGAGTGGAAGCAAGAATATACAGAACCCACCAGCCCCAAGGTTCCAGGGAGTCTTGAGTAATCAATATGCTCTTAGAGGACACAAAGACATCAATTCAACTGGGAGAAATATTTATGAGAATGTCTAGTACATTTACAAGAGTTCCTAAATTCCTAAGTTGGGAATTTGGAGGTTTACTTCACACAACAACTCATGTTACCATTTTTTTAAAACTTTGTTTCTTATGAAAAATGGTGAAAGACACTGATGACAAGAGCCAGAAAATGTAAGTTAATTAATTACTTCAACCTTAAGCCACAGAATCCTATCTAAGGAGAGTGCTTTTCTAGGAGACATCATTTAAATTTTCTTTACAATTGTGTGTGTGTGTGTGTGTGGGTGGGTGTGTGTGTGGGTGTGTGTGTGTGTGGCTGGCTCAGCCTGCCCTGGAGGCAGGACTGGCATAGCATGTGGTGCCGGGGAATCAAACTATGGTCCCTGTGCTTGCCTAAGCAGCCACTTTAGAGTGCTGAGCTATCTCCCCAGCCCCATTTAAATTTTCTTAGTGTGATTTAACTATATTTTATGGACAAAGCTATATGTCATCATGGTATTTGACAATCTTGCCACATATAGAAAATATCAGTATCAAACTTTTCATTTGCATTTCAAATCTGTATTCACTTATCAAACAATATTGAAAACTAAGAAATAAATGGAAAATTATAGGTGTCAGTGGATATTTTCTTTTTCTTTTTTTTTTTTTTAGTGGATATTTTCTAACATCCAGGAAACATTACAACTCTATAAAATGTTAAGATGACAACAGTTAACTTAAGTTCCTATAAACTGAAATCTACTTTAGCAATTTTAAGTACATATATTTCAATAATAAAAAATAATAAATTACTTAAAAATCCAGGACTAGGGAGGTATCTTGGCAATCTAAGCACCTTCCTGGCAAACACAAGGAAGGACCTCGGTTTGATCCCTAGTAGCACATGCTGTGTAGGCCCAGGAGCCCTGGGTATACAATGCTGGCCACCAAAACAGGCCATGGTGGCACACCCCTGTAATCCCAGCATTGGGGATGCTGAGACAGGAGGACCACTACGAGTCCAAGCTGCGTAGTAAGATCCTATGCCAAATAAATAAATGATTTAAAAAATTATTTTTTCAATCTGTTGTAAGTATTTCATAGATATTAACTCCATGAAGTAATAACTATTATTTCCTTTGAAAATGAGGATAATAAAGCACTCAGAGGTTAGGGTACTTCACCAGCAAATGCAAGATGAGCCAGAATTAAGCCCACTGGGTGTTTCAAAAAAGAGCATGCCAAGATAACTTTATGGAAAAAAGAAACATGCTTTAAGATTATTTTTTTGTTTTAGACAGGGTCTTGCTATGCATTTCAGGGTACCTTCAAGCTCACTTTTGTGCTCACCTTGGGCTGGTCTCAGACTCGCAGTGATTCTCCTGTTTCAACCTCCCAAGTGCTAGGATTACAGGTATATGCCACCACACTCAGTTCCAGGGCCAAGACGGCATACCCAGGGGATCTGGGGCCAGCACAGCATATGAAGTCAGGAATCGAACTCTGGTCCTTGTGCTTGCCAGGCAGGTACTTATGCCTCTGAGCTATCTCCCCAGCTCAACATTATCACTTAAGTGCATAAATTATACAGTCTTTGGACTCCTGTGGTAGTAATATTTGGATGGTGGGAAAGATGAGTATGTGATATTCTATCTGGTTTATGCTGTAAGACAAATTTAATTTTCTTCTACTAATTTCTACTAAAAAATGTATGAACAGTACACAAAGATAATTCAATCATACAGTAGACAAAGAAAGGATAGGACAAAATCTGCATTTCTTCAATTCTTTAAAATAATAGTAACGAACATAAAATAAAGATTTTTTTCCCTTTTATTTAGCTGTAGGATGCTACAAAAGTAACTAAGTAACTAGGTATAGTTGTACATGCCTATAATCCCAGCACTTGGTGGGCTAAGGAAGGAGCATCACACTAAATTCAAGGCCAGCCTACATTACATACGCTACATAGCAAAATCTAGTCTCACAAAACAAACAACATATGAGTAAGAGTAACTAATATAAACAAGTCAATCTAGCAAAGCACTACAAAGTTTAGAAGGAAAAAAGACATGTAATGGGAAAAAGATTTCTCATGAAAACTATTACAAAAGAAAAAAATGTATTTTACCTAACTGCCAAAAATGACAATGAAGCACTCTTCCCAAACAAAACTAGAAATGTCTATACTCTAAGTAAAAAACACACAAAACCAATTTCAACATCTACCAATTATTTCAAGACTCCTGGCCAATTCTGTCCCCAAGGATATTATCATGTGACGCAAAGCCAAGGATATTATCATCTGACGCAAAGAAGACCATACCTCTTTAGGAAAGAAATATTTTCATCAAAATATTACACCCCTAAAATATATAAAAGCAAAGTATACACTAATGAAAATGGTTTCATAAAGAGTTGTTTCAACAAAATCATAAAAAGTTTCTATTTTCAAAATATATCAGACTCCCTCTCTTCATAATGAGTATTATCACTAAATAAAAGATTATTTTTGTTGTATTTAAGAGAAAAAAAAGCTACTAAGTGCCTAGAGAGCTGCCAGGTAAAGGAGAATCTGCTTAAGTGCCCATCTACTCCAGGACCACCAACATATTATGATGTTAAGTGTACCACAGGAGTATGCAAGTAACAGTCCTGAATGCCAGACTAGTCCTCACTTTAAAACAGAACTGTTGTCAATTTTGTTACAGAATCAAGAAGGAAATGTATTACCTGTACATTAGGATGGTCAATGATCAGAGCCCCTTCTTTGTTGTAGGTATAAACCACAAAATCTTTAGGCAAAAGGTCTCTAGAAAAAGAATAAAACATTTATATTTATTTGAACTATCAATTCAAGGTCAAAACTCATAAGGCATTATTCCCAAAATAGAGAAACAGAAATAAAATTTTTTACCCAATTAATCCTCATTTGATGAATGTGCTAGCATAAAACTAAAAGTTCACCTACCAATTTGGTTTGAAACTGTCTCATTGCTATTTGTTTTTCAATAAAATTATGCAAGAAAAAAAAACTAAAAGTTCATAAACAGTCTTAAATCTGAAACAGTGTAAATTCCCCACTTGGAAGTGATGTGAACCTCCAATTTGTTCTAATGGTGTAAAATGCTGGCTGTAAAAAATTTAAAGCTTCTTAAACATTACAGTTCATAGGAAAAAGTAAATTAGATAACACATCATGTTTATAAAAGAAAAATAAAATCCCATATAAACAAGAAATATCCATTTCCTTAATCTCTTAAGTAATGAGGCAAAATCTTGTTTTTTTCTTAAGGAAACAACTATTTCAAATTCTTGAGCTTTATTCCATGTCAAGGAGCTCAACACAAACCACATTTGTAAAGATCAGATTCCTTCACCACAGGAGTGAAGAAGCTCTGACTGTTCCCAGGTCTTATACTTAAAAGTTCAAAAGGCAGGCTGGGGATGCAGCTCAAAGGAAGAATACTTAGCCCTCCAAAGAAAAAAGAACAGGTTGGGGATATTTCTCAGTGGCACAAGCAGTTGCCTGGCAAGTGAAAGGTACTGAGTTCAATTCCAGGTACACAAGAGAAGAGAAGCAAAGAGAAGAAAGAAAAAAGAAATGTGATGTAATCCCAGCTGCTCAGAAGGCTGAGGCACAAAGATCACAAATGAAAGTCAGCCTGAATAATACAGAGAGGTCTTTTCACAAAATGAAGCTCAAAAGGCCCTGGAGACACCCAGGATCAACCTATCTATACTGTTTAGAGATGAACAGATAGTTTTCAGCCCATTTAACAGGTTACATAGCCTGGCTTTCGCTACATGGCCAGCGTAGCATAAAAGACCCTCAGTAAATTTGTTCCTGGCCTCCCCCAAAAAATACTGTGCATCACCATCTCAATGGTTGGTAACCCAGGCAAAGCATAAAAAATCTGCTGCAGCACAGCAGTGACAGGAATGGCGAAATATGACCCTACTGGGGTTCACATCTACTATAAAGTATCTACCTTCAAGAAAAATCAACATACTTAATTTAAGAAGGACTTATTGAAAAGGCAAAGTAAACTAAATTTCTTACATGTTCCTTTCCAAGTGAATAATATGTTCTTTTCCTTGTGCTTGAATGACATAAGATACCTAAATGCAGAGGGGGGAAAAAAAAAAAAAAAAAAAAAACAGTAACACTGTCTTATAGTTTTCAACAATATGCCATTTATAAGACTCAGGATATTCTACCCTGAATTAAAATAATATAGTAATGACTACAATTCATTTATAATAATCACCCTATATATTTATCTGAAGTCTTAAATTCATTTCTAATTCACCTATAACTTCAGGAAAGAGTCCATCCATGTATTATCTAGTGGAAAAAGCAGGTCTTCCTTCTGTTTAAATGAAATGAGCTTCCTAGTTTCAAGAGATTACTCCTAGTTCTAGTCTCCCAAAAGTAGAAAAAAAAATCCATACTTTTAAAACACTGGATATAGCTCAGTGGCATAGAGCCTGCCTGGCAAGCACAAGGTCCTGAGTTCAATTTCCGATACCAAAACAAATCCATAAATAAAATACAACACACTCCCCACCATGTGTAATAACATCCCAGGGGGTGAGGCTATATCACACAAAGGCACAGCAATCTAACTGGCAATACCTCTAGGCTTTGTTGTTCTTATGTTTTGAGTTTTTGTTTATTTATTTGTCTTTTAGTACTGGAGATTCAGAGCCTCTAACCAACATCCTCAGACCTTTTTTTTTTTTTTTTTTTTTTTTTTTTGAGACAGAGTATCACTCAAAATTGTGATCCTCTTGCCTTTAAATTAACATTTTGTAGAGAAGCAGCATGATCCCCTCTATTGGGGCACATCAACCAAGGACTTATAAAGACCCAATCAATTCCTGGAACCCAGAATCCTTGTTCTGTTGACAGAACTCTATTATCCACTCCAGTCCTACATTGAGATATCAAACACACCAAGCTGCTAAACAAAGGCATTAACCATATTACTCTTCTCCAAAGTCAGAAAAAATACAGTGTAAAATATTCTACTTATCACAATATGAGTGGAGTTTGTTCTTGTTCTTAAGTAAAGCCACTGTGACTGCTGCTAATCAGTTCAAGGCTAATCTATGCAGTCAGCATTCTAACCTAGTTGCAGAATTCTACTTATTTGTTATGTTTGAGTTGACCACTGTTGTAGTTTTTGTTTTTTAAAACAAAAAGCAAAGCAAAATGAAAGGATACAAAGGCTCAATATGTTGCTTTCATCAGAGTAATTTCCAGTGGACATCAGTACCATATGGTATCATATTAAATAGTGACTGACTTGCTTATTCCCTGATCCAAGCATTCCTGAAATTACCACCTCTGGTTTAAAAAAAGAAAAAACATTAATATACCTACAATGGTCTTAAGAGATAATGTACCTGTTTTAAATAGGGCCTTGGGGCTTCTCTTCGGTCTCTAGTTAATCTCCAGGGAGTTACAATTTCATAAGAGAGGTGTGAGGTCTGTTGAAAGCCTACAGAAAAAGGAACAATAAATAAGATATAAGTGAAGCTGAAAAACTATAAGGCAGGGATCAGCTGGGGAGCAACACATAGGAATGAGGAAAAAAGACAAGAAGAAAGAGCTGGGTCAGGCTGTGCCCGAGTTAAAATACACAATGTTGCCTAGTGACTAACAGCCCACAGAGTCCAGGCAGGATGTTTTTCTCAAGTCTGAGATAGCCTGACTGCTTTAGGCAATGAGTCCTCATCCTGCCTTCCCACATTTGATCAATCTCCAGCTTCTGCCACTCCCAACACTACATAATACCAAAATTTAATGGAAGTTATCATGGTTTGGGGTTTTTCAAGGGAAATAATACAATACAGGGCACATTTTATATTATTCTATAAGGAATTACCCAAAGAATCATATACAGCGAAAGCAAGAAATCTGTCCACACAGACCAAAGAATCCAGCTGAGGGCCTGGACCCTAATACCCTCATGAGTCCAGCTGAAAACCTAGAGCTCATAACAATGCCTCCCACAGCAATTAACCACTAAGAAGAATATATGCAGTGTATTATTTGTTGAAACTGTACTTTCGATTTGATTTGAAACTGTCTCATTGCTATATGTTTATCAATAAAACTTTGAAAAGAAAAAAAATAAATAACAATGCCTCCCACAAGTCCTACTAGAGACCTAGAGCCCATGACAAAATCTCATGCATGCCACTTCAGGGATCTGTGCTGGAAAGGTCCAAAGGTCAATGGTGAAAGCTAAAAAGTTCATACCCTCAGGATTAAGGATCTGTGCTAGCAGGCTAAAGGATCTGAATGAGAGCTAGAAAGCAATGCTCAAGGTAAGCACCACAGCTCCCCTCAAAAGTACCACAGCCATCCTCAGCAACAGTGAGATCCCAAGCTCCTCCAGTGATGGAATATATCACTGAGTTCCCATCAGGAAAGCCAACATGACAAGCTTCTCCACAAGGCTGAGCAGTGCACCACCTTCCTCTCCAGAACCAGGAAGCAATGCTCAAGATGAGGACCAAAGCTCCCCAAAATAAGCCATAGCCATTCTCAGTCAAGACAAAGGCCCCAAGCTCCTCCTCCAACAAGAACAGCCAAGTACACCAGGAAAGCCAGCATGACAAGGTTCTCCAGCAGAATAGCCCAAGAGAGCCAACACCTTCCAACAGTTCCAAGAGCTCCAACAGCTTCTCCAAACAGCTTCCCTAACAGCCTCTGGAGCACTTCTCCAATTTTGCCTCTTATGCTGCTGGCAACAATTTAGCTGGGCGTAACCAGTTGACCACCAGTTAGAAATCCACCACAAAAAAAAAAAAGTTGAAAGTACAAATCACGGGGCCTGGGAGATAGCTCAGTGGTATAAGTGCCTGCCTAGCAAGTACAAGGTCCTGCGTTCAATCTCTAGTAGCAAAAAGAACAAGAAAGTTCAAGTCATTAAAAAATGTCATTCTTGTATTTTAAAAAATTCACAGCCAGATGTGGTGGTATTATAGGGAGCTAAGTTATTCAGAAATATTACAGGCAATCAGACAGAGCAGGCTGGTGCAAAAGACAACTATGACTGGAAGGTCAGGCCTCATGGCAAAGAGAAAATGACTCCATCTACACACTTCTCCTAGGGATGAACAAGAGACTGATATTCTAAACTGGCACCAATCACCCTGGATAGAAGACCAAAACCTCCTTAACTCACCCCTTCCAGGGAAGTCCTTGTGAGTCTCATGTCCACTTGTTTGGTAATTTGCTACCCCATTTGTTCTCCATGCAATAAATATTAACTAAGTGACTACATATGTGACTCTTATTGGCTGATGAGGGCTTTGTCCCACATCATACTCACTTTGTGATTTTCACTGGATCAACATTACCTAAGAAACTATATTTCTACTCCTATAAATTAACTATAATTTTGTTCCACTTTACACCCCACTTCACCTCATGGTTTTCCCCTATGAAACTCCCTTGAGAAGCAGGTTCCCCAGGGCCACCCACTTGGGACCCCCTTCTGTCCCTCTTAGATGCTTTCTTTCTCTCAATAAATACTTCCTATTCTTAACTTTAATTGTTCCTACAATTCATTCTTTAATCTTAGAGAACAAGAAGTCGACATATCAGACAGCTAACAGGTCAGGAGTTACACTTCCCTTAATAATTTTGATTATTTGGAGGGCCGATATCATCCCTATATCATACACCTTGTATCAGTGGTGCACACTATAACCCCAGCTACTCAAGAAGTTGAGGTAGGAAAAACTAAAGATTAAAGGCATCCTAATCTATTTAGCAAGACCCTGTCTTAAAAAAAAAAAAATGTTTTCAAATGGGTTGGGTTGTTTGGGGCGGGTATAAGCCTATTATAATCCCGGCACTAGGAAGGCTGAGACAGGATTGCTGTGAGTTCAAGGCCACTCTAGGCTACAAAATGAGTTTAAGGCCAGTCTAGCCTGCATAGCAAAACCACTTCAAAAGGACTAAATAAATTAAGTTAGGGGTATGGCTCAGTGGTGTAATATAAGCATAAGGCCCTCAGCTCATAAGGCCCTCCAATACAAAAAATAGACACACACACATACAGATAAGTTTATATACAGTTTTTGTGTTAAAATAGCAAAACAACAATACTAGGTAAGTATGGGTTAAGGTAATAGTTCCTAAAAAAGGATGTCAGTCTTTATCTGAACATTTTATACATAGCAATCATTTTCAAAGTCCAACAAGCTCTCAGTAAATCAGACGCAAGCTTTTTTTCCCAGGATCACATTACCAATGGTCTCACGATTCTTTCAATGAACTCAATGTAGATTGTCACCATCTATGGAGCACAGATGAAAAATCCACAACTGTATAAAACCACATTCTGTGTAAGGAGGCTGGAGAGTAACATACACAAAGTAAAAGGATAGAGGAAGAGCAGAGTCCCGTCTTCCATGTACCTGGGTACAGATACATGCCCCTCAAGTAGAGAAGTGAAACTATCTTATATTAAAGAGCTTTATACTAAATGCAGTATATGGACCTTCAGATCCTAGTTAAAATAAGTCCATTGAAAAATAAAACCTGTGATAATCCAGGGAGCTTCTGACACGGCACTGATATTTTATGTTCTTGACGGATGTCCAGCAGACATTATTCTAGTAAAAGCAATATACCAAACCTTTGTATCTTTTTTAAAAAAGACAATTTTCAACTCAAAGCATTAACAGATGATCTCAATTTTTTTAAGTGTAATAGGCAAATTATTGGTAAGGTTTTATGTTTTTAGAGATTTCCTTCTGAATATCCAAAAATAATATGTCTACAGTATGCATTAAAATAACCCAGTGTGTTTGAGGAAAGAGGTAAGTACAGAGAAAACAGGATTAAAACTTGGTAAGCGCATCGGCCGGGGTTCGATCCCTGGTGTGCCATGCCAGGCCAACCTGCAGAGCACGCTGAGACGGTGATTGAGACTGGGCATGGTGGCACATGCTTGTAATCCCAACACTTGGGAGGATGAAAACAGGAGAATCACTGCAAGTCCAATCTATATAGTGAGACCCTGTAGATCCTGTAGACCCTGTCCTAAACACAGAAAAAAAAACAAACCCTCTGGTAATGTTAATGTGTGCCTCTAATTCCAACACCTGGGAAGGTGACTGCAAGACAGGCACAAGTTAGCTCAAGTCCACCTTAGACTACATAGTGAGACCCTATCTCAAAAAACAAAACAAAACAAAAAAGACAGGTGTATGCTTTAAAACTATAATAAAATACTTATTTTAAGTGCTTACAAATAGAGTGTGGAATGAATTTTTTTTTATTTTAAAGAGAATAAAACAAAATTTCAAAACAAAGACTTTACTGTGACAGTAACTATGAAATACTATCACTACATCAGATAATAAATGAATACTAAATGTGTCATAATCATGTAAACAGAATAAATAAATGTAATAAACTGTTGTTGTTGAGACAGGGATTTACTACATACTTCAGACTAGCTTTGAACCCATTATGCAACCCAGGCTTGCCTCAAACTAAACAGGGATTCTCCTGCCTCAGTCTCCAGAGTAGCACGACTGCAGGCTTCTGCCAGCATGCCTGGCTGAACCAAATTGTTTAAAAGCACTTACTACACTGGAATGGAACTAGAGACTAACGAGAAAAATAATATATTTCCTACATTTTTGAATTTATGTAGTGTCTGAATTTGTATCACCATATTACAATTTACACACTGTACTATTTTTGAAATTAAAAAGGCAACAAGAGTGTTCAATGAAAATAGTATAAAATGTTTTTAAAGTACTGATTATCTAGAATCTTTCCCAAAAGGTCAGGCCCTTCTCTCAAGGCCTCACATTCTATTTTTTGTGGGTACTTACTTTATTCTGCCTAGCTTCTAAACATTTCTAATGCCTCTCACCAAAAAAAAAAAAAAAAAAGTAAACAAAAATAAGTAAATAAAATCTTTATATTAACTTTTTTTCTCTCAGTGCTAGGGATCAAACCCAGGAACTCACAACTGCCAAGCAAAAGATCCACCACTGAGTTACACCTCCATGTTTCTGTCACCCTTAAGCCATCTCCAATCCAGACTACTGGATAGCTTTTCCCTGGTGCTCCACCTCCCCTCCTCTGATCAACCTGTCTGTTCATTCCCTCATTAACCTCCCCTCCTCTGATCAACTTGTATGTTCATTCCCTCATTAAATGCTTTATGCTCTTCAGCTTCTCAAATACAGATTAATATGAAATATTTACACCTACCTTTACTGCCAGATAATACTACACATGAAAATGTTTACAGCCCTGTCTAGTTTGGATTTTAAAAGATACAGATAGGAAAAATAAATTATATCAAATACATATCACACTGTCTTAGTTACTTTCTTGTTACTGAGACACAATATACCCACAGCTCTAAGAATGAGAGGTTATTGACTGCTGCTGTATGGAGGTTTCAGCCTCTAGTCCGCTGGCTCCAAAGCAGGGCACCATGGCAGAGGAGAAACAGTT